GGGCTACATAATAGCCTTTATTTCAGTATCCATTACAGTGTAAGCTGTGAACCAAAGATAATTCTAACTGTATCCAAAACGACTCAAGAGTAAAACTTGGCAAACATGTGCAACAACGTCCGTTTATTGGTTACTAAATCATCTTGGCACATCTGACCTGAAACTGCGCAACTGCAAAGGAAAAATACCTAACACACACGACCTGCAAACCGCTCATCAATCTGAAGTTTGCCACCAAGCCCAGTGAGGATAGACTTCACGTAAAAGGGATTTCTTAATTTACGCCCGAAACAAAACAGGCCCTGCTCTAGTTGACATGGTAGTAAATTCTACGCAGTTAAAAGAGTGAGAATTATAGATCAAGATCATGCATCACTCATGGAATAGGCTGTGAGTGTTGAAACAACACCGTGTGTCTTGTTTGTGTGCTTATGGTTGTTTTGTGTACATGTGTGGGCCACAACACCAGTCCCCGCTGCCTGTGGCCGACGAGTATTGTATTTGTTTGCAATCCCAATAAATCAAATCAAATCAAATCAAACTAAACCTGCCTATCTAGATGTACTAACCATTGAACATGCTGGTCACGCTAGCCTTCCTGACGTAAACTGGTAAGATATATATATATGAAGCAAAACTGAAAGATACTCTGAAAGGCCATGACAAATAAAACCTGATTGAAACGACAGCGCACTTTGCTCTACAGCCATAAAAGAACCTTGGAGGAGCCGACCGAATGTTAAATGGATAAGCCGCCAGTGGCCCCAGAAGGAATGCCCAGAATAGTGAGCTTATTCCCGGCTTGTCTGTTTATCTTACGACTCAATCTGTGGCTAATGGAAACTGGCACTTCAGCTCAAAGACACAGAAATGATTAATGGGCATCTACCCTACGGACTCTCTAATAGGCTTCAGACTGCTTGTCGACATTACCAACAATAAAGCAGCAGGCGGGAAGAACAAGACGGGAGGAGCGGGCCCTCCATTCAAGCGTTCGGTGATTTGGAAGGTGGTGGTAACACGATGACATCGGGAGCCTTTAACGCGTCTGGAAGACGAAAAACTATCAGTCTTTGTCATCACTTACAGAATGAACGGCATCTTGTGTACACTTTGTATTGCTATAGATTCGTCTCGAGATAATCTTTGGTGCAAAATGCAGCTTCACGATAAATCCTTACGGAGTAGTTTCTATGCGATTGCTATTCTATGCGAGTAGTTTCTATATGAATCAGTAAAACGTTATCTCTCTATAACAAATTTTCGCTGTCCAGAGTCTAGAGGCAGGGTTATGCTGTGTTTACAGCCAACCCAAGGACAGGACGGACAGGCTGTGTCTACCGACCCTTCATCCAGCACCAAGGACAGCGCCATGTGCTAAGAGACCCATCTATTACCCATGTGGTATGTCTACAGATCAAGGCTTCAGCACCAAGGACAGAGCCATAATGTAAATGCGAGTACAGGCTCACCTATTACCAATGTGCTGTGTTTATACACATTCATATCCACACTTCAGCACCAAGGACAGGGCCATAGCGTGTCTGTGGCCATAGACTGTATACAAACCCGCCATTCAGCACCAAGGACAGGAACATGATGTGTCTACAGGCCCACCCTTTACTCATAGGCTGTGTTTACAAACCGACCCTTCAGTACTAAGGACAAAGCCATAGTATACATGTGGAGCAGCCTTTACCTATAGGCTTTGTCTTAAAATTCCCGCCAGTCAGCACTAAGGACAGGACCATGATATGTCTACAGACCCATCCAATAAACATGTCGTGTCTCTACATATCCACTATTCAGCACCAAGGACAGACCATGATGTGTTTGTAGGACCAAGGACAGGGCCAGACCCACCTTTACATAGCACCACCACCTGATGGTGCACAGCAGAATCTTAGAAACTGCACAGATGCTGGACACCGCTCCCCTGAGAGCCGGTGCAGATAAATGGATAAGAAAGTGGGTGAGGGACCTTTTTAAATCATCGCGATGTCCATTAGCGTAATGACAATACCTGGCGGGAAGAAAAACAGGCATGCATAGGCCGGCATGGGAAGCTTCAGGGTCACGGTAATAACGGTATACATGATGTATATGTCTTTTTAAAGAGTAAATTGGGTGTCATGCTTCAAACCTTGCATGTATCTTAAACTTTGATTCTTAAGGCAAATTCATGTGGTTGAGATATTCCAAATTGTAGCGGATGACATTCACAACCACGGGCACTCTGGATAGTTTGCACGTCCAAAGAAATATCTTCCCATCCTATCTGTCTTGCCATTCGACAGATTACTTTCTAGTCTAACGAACCTTATCGGGTTGCTCTACGTGCGTCTGTGACGTCATGAAGAAATCTACCTCCAGGTCCTGGCAGGCATCAAATAATTCCATTTGTCAATCATGGGCCCGGGGGGAAGTCATTATCCACAACCAACATCATTCATAGCGTGCTGCACAATAAATCCGTTGTTGGAGTCATCATGGTACTGCGTATCTTACGTGGATGACAAAGATGCAGGTTGATTCTACTAAACAGGCATAGAAATAATGACGTTTGCGTTAACAGAACGTGGAAGCTCTTGGGTTCATTTTTAATGGAATGCATTTTTTTTCGCCTTACTCAATCCACGCACCACTCCACTTGACGCCACAGCAATGTACCAATTACAATGTTAACTTCTTATTCATACAAATTTGGCATGAATATAGCGAGATGTAATTTCTATCGATTTGCTCCAATATACATCCATCGCCGGCCCTTAATGATGTGACAATCTATGGTTGATGACTTAATTTAGCATGCTTATCGAATATCCATGGCAACTACTAAAAAACTGCACGAAAACACAATAATGTGTCTACGCACAAAATAAACGGTCCCTATACTGAAACGTAGAGTCTACGAGTCTACGTCCGTCTTATAATACAAAAATCGTGGCCCTGTCTGCTCGGCACTGAGATGTATCATATTGTCCAGACGTCTCACAACTGTCGGTGGCAAGAGAAGAGAATGCTCTTCACTGCATCGTTTGTTTCTATTAAATCCCGGTCACGCACATCGTATGCATTTACGATGTTTTTTTTTCTTCCGTGACGATACCGCCGTACGTTGTAGGTTTCAGGAGAAAATAGTTTAATTTTAGTTTCGTCTTAAATCTATGACGTGCGACACAATCGTCACAAAGAAAACTTCATTATACGATATCAATATATATATGACCAAAGCTTTACACTGACGTAAGAGTGTTGCGGAGAAAATTTGTTGTTAAAAATTGTTATACTAGTAAACAAGAAAACTGAAAAAACCTCATGGCACGTCTGGTGGGAGACACTTTAAATCTACTGTTCTAAAGCCAGCTGTATTCTGAAGATGATGGCGTCCATGGATATTACACACAGCTCTTATGTATGTCTCTGCTGGCAATTTCCAGGGCGAAGTAATCTATGTGGAATCACACACAGCTGACACCCGAGGGAGTTTTCAATCAGTATCTCAATACTTAAGCATTCTCTGAAGTCTGATGCTTGATAGCTACTAATCGACAGCAACATTACCCTACTTTCACGTTATGTTAGCCATTATATTAACGACCCCACTACCCCTTCCGTGCACTTGTTTTTATAGCTTTTTTTCCTAAACTCGGGATGATTTAACCGTTCGTGAGAAACCTTCCTCGCACCCTGCCGTTTCCGCACGCGCACTTATTGATTTTTTGAGACAGTCGAGCTGGTCATGAAGGTTAAACAATTTTCCGCTTCGCGGAGATCGGTATTGCTATTACAGAGTGCCGTATGGTGATGCTCGCGTGCCGCACATTATTGTCTTACATCCTCCTCTTACATGTAGACAAATCCTGTCTGGTGGATGGATCTACTGAGGAGGGACGGAAGTGTACAACTTTTAAACTATCCACTGGGCCCAAAAGAGTTTTTAACAAAAATGTGCACTACAAGAACGACGTTCTAAATATCGCAACACCAGGCGCAAAACACTGCTCTGGATCCTTACATCTGCTTGGAGATTGCGTTCCTACGTCCGTGTGTGTGTGCGTGCGCACGTATATGCGTGTGTGTTGTACAATTTTTGTCATCAGTTTGTGCCATATTTCTCTTCAACACATAGTGTCATTTAAATGATACCATCCAAACAACTCGTTGAATACATGTATTCTATCTCCCTCTCCGCACTTCAAGAAACTCTCAAGCCGAGATTCGGTAGAGAAGCACAAAGAATGAGGAACGATAAGACTGTCCTTGAAAACACTTAATCGCTCCAAAGAGCTGATAGATATATATTTCCCTATAAGCTTCTTTATCACTCCGCTGAAGATAGAATACTCTGGTTTTGGTACAAGGACGAAAGCCAAAGAATACATCTTTCTCGTATTCTATATCACTGATCATCGTGGGAGGAAAAATAACGAGAACAAATGTAATTCGTGACAGCGAAGACTTAACAGCGGAACGTTGCCGGGCCGATTAAACACTTCATTATCATATCCGTCACGCCCAACACGTTTGATTCCCCGTGACGATGTTTGTATCTGTGGAGATGATGTTTTGATGAATCGTTCTTATCTAGATCTCGAATACCTTCCATCACCAAAATCAGATCTGGCACTATCGCATCAAATGGAGCTTAAAATGCCGCCAAGACTAAGATGCGATCACATCAATCCCGCGCATATCGCACACACGTATTTCATAATTTACACAATCATTGAACCATAGCACCTTTGGAACATCCATATATTTTCCGATGCTTCGTGTTGAGTAGAATCTTACATATTCGTGCTTCAAAGTGATAAATCCCCTCGAGAGGCACCCGTGCAGCCGTTATAATTCGGAAAAGAGGTCGAGGGGCATACTTCTAACCTCTTTATATCAAGCGTGAATTCTAATGGCCTGTATATGGGTGAATTATCGTTGCACAGTGCGGTGTTTCAGTATTCTAACGTTAAGTTCGCAGCCGCGATACGGATGGCTGCTCGTCACGTTACCGACAGCTCCCTCGTGGTGGATGACAAGTCACTTGTATGTCGTGGTACAATATGTTACGATGTGGCGCTTAACTGGCAGACTTTTCTAGGCCTGTGTCATAAATTTGCCACAGTAGGAATCGCCGACACAATGTCATGAATTGTTTTAGCATGACGGGTCCTGAACTTAAAAACATCTTCATCACGGTTAAGATTGCTTTGACTCAGGATCTACCAGCTGTGTAAATACAGGAAATATAACGTTACATCCGACCATTTCCGATTAAGGCCGCCTTTCCACTAGCGACCGTTGAGTGACCAAATTTGGATATTTTGACTCTTGATTTCATAACTGGAATACGGTATCTTAGCACGATTTAGAAGACAACAAAAATCACAAAATGTGAAAAAAATGTCCTTCATGTCGCCCATTGCTTGTAGAAAAGTAGGAGTAACCGGTGGGAACCAGTTAGCACTGCCTAACATTCCCAGCGAGGTTAGCTACCCACACAAACAAGTTCATGTTTACTATAAGACAGAATTATACAGAGCCATGCACTAGACCAAACATACTCTTCTGAAGAGCAAACACAACAACATTACTACGTGTCGAAAAATATCTCATTGTACACAAACACGACCAAAGCAAACTAAATACGGATGTGCCATATATGGCTATGACCCACATGATGACGACGTTGCATGCACAAATACAATACGATTTTATTTACTAACCAACTCCAGGCACGATGTTCAGCACGCACAGGAAAATAGCGACTGGCATTGGCATGTAGGGAATGGCGTTTCTCATAGGGCCGTGCTTTTCTCTGATGATGTACTGCGTTTTCTTCTTGATGGACCTCCTCCCTCTCTGCAGCTTGCTGTCGGGGTGGCTTGGCGAGCCGGCCGAGCCTTCCGGGTCCTCGGCAGCGGCGGGATCATCCTTCGGAGCCTCGGCGTCCTGCGGCGGATCCTGTAGCGGGATGGTCTCCTCCGCCGGGGTAGTCGGTTTCACCTCCTCTCCCTGCGCCGGTTCCTGTTCTGAACCAGTCATGGTTTGACACTATCTGGTACTCTGTCTACTGACGGACGGCCTGAGGCTGGGGACTGCTGAGGCGGTCTGTGCAGCAGCAACTGTTCTGTCACTGTGTGGAGTACGCACTGCGTTGACAGACAACCACTCCTAAAAAAACCGGTCCGGATCCAACAAGCATGTCCGTCAATCAGCCAGTGTAGCCTAGCCTACGTACGTAGCCTGCTGTTTGCAGTGGTGTGTGTACAGTTCAGTTACAATTCACAAGGTTGGGAGCCAGCAGTACCTGCCTCCGCTTTACCGCCTTCACACTTCGATCGAAAGGGCAACGTCGCACCGCACATGATCAGTTGAGATCGACCGGCGAAGAATTTAATCCCAGAGCCGCCATATAGCGAATATCGGTCTCCCTATTATAATGGAGTCCCCCTATTGGTTTAGTCCCTGCTTCATCATACAGAGGTCGCGAGCTGTAAGCGCACAGGTCACGTTATCGTGACTGCACTCACTATATATGGGTTGACACAGGTCGGGTAGGGTAGCAGGTATGGCTCATCTTCAGTATTTGTTCTTCGCCCAAAGTCGTTAAGGGCTCTTAGCCTCGACATTCTAACATCGCCGAGGAAAAAACGACATCCCAGTGGAGAATGATAAAATGACGCACAACCTTTCCCCTTTCATACAAACACACACAGCAAAAGACTGCCGTCAGTTAGAGGAAATGGAGAATAATGCGCCATCAAAGGAGCTTTGATGTCACCATGGCTCGCATTGCTTTATTGTACCGTGGCGGTGACAGGTGCGGATTGAACAGTCCCGGGATCATCAGTCATGGAGGGCGGCAGGAGGTTTCAAACATTATTATTACCCGCCAGTGCACTTCTGATAGCACGGGTGGAGGTCTGTGTGAACAGGCCAAGGTCCAACAAGAAATCTGATATTTCAGACTTCTGTGCAGTATGCAATCCTCATCTTCTTGAATTCCCTATGCCTGCAAGCTCCCGGATAGATTCCGTGACCTATAACCTCATGTCATTCTGCCTGTCACTCTTCCCCACCCGCGTGATGTTAACCTACTCGGCCCGGACAAACAGATACACAAACCTACCACAGCTCAGCCACTGACCCAACACAATACTTCCGTACCCGAAAGTAACTAAAGTTTACACTGTGACCTGTCAAGAATGCATCGAATGTCATCTACTTCTACTGCCTTAAACCCAGATCCAGTTTTGACCAATGCCCGCCAGTAAACTATTAGTAATAAGTTTATTTTAAGTCCATGCCTAAGGGCTACTTGCAATTAAAACGAAGAACGAATACAACGTAGGTATACGTAAGAAAGAAAAGACAAATAAGATACATAAGTGGTGTAATGACTGCGCTAAATAACTATTGAAATGTTCTTTTCCACAGACAGGAAGATGAATCGTCCTACGTATTTGGTAGATAAATGGGTTGGCTGGTTAATCACTTGTTCCGGAGGCTTGTCGAACAGGCCATGGTTCAACTATATTTACACACATTTCAAGATAAAATATCTTTAGACATTAACTAACCCAGATCCTCTAGTGGAATAATCTATGCTTCAATACTACAGTAACTGTATTCAAACTCCTCTCCTCCCCTGCATCCCCAGAAACCATTTCCATTCCTTTTGGAATTGCGCCAGTCTTTGAGGTGGACTTTTTTTCAAAAGTTCTGTCCATAAGTACCCCCTTTTAAAGGTTGACGGCATCTGGCCTCGGAGTCTCAGACAGCCGCCCTGTAGGAGTCATTACCGCTATATAAATACACCATATCTCCAGCCTTTGGCCCCGATTTCAACACAGGATGCCATGATGGCCACATGCCAGGCAGTTCTGCACACAACTTATCTCCAAGCAGAAGCAGCATGGGTTCTGTGTAGCATGGGCAGATGAAGCATTGGCAGTGCTTTTTGAGGTAATCTACGATCATCTACATCTTTCTTGTGGTCCGCGGTTTTATCTCTTCCGGCCTCCCTCAGGAGATCACTCTAGAAATGCGGCCGAGACCGTATATGGTCATATCTTGTCTGTGTAGCTTTGCCATAAATCTTTTAAAGATAGCCACTTGACATTGTCGTTGACAGACGCTCACTTCAATGCAGCAGATACTAGTGTACATTTACCATTGAGTGGCCCATTCTCCCAGTCCCCCAGCTCCTGACCCTCCACAGATCAGCTGAAAATGGCGCGCTGCGACTGGCGGAGTCTATCTCTCCGAGCATCTTTTTTTATCGGCAAGACAGGCGGACCTTCCCAGATAACCACAAGTGGCAGGGATCAAGTTGGAAACCCAGTTTCTCTTTTATTGGCGTTGTGGTTAGTCGCGACATGTCATGCGTCTGCCTACATAACGGCGACTCATATATTAAAGTTGCTGAATGGTGCCCCAGGCCGTATCAATTTTCGAAACGCACGGTGACGACGTGGGAAACGGTATGCAGGAAATAAAGATGATGGATCAATAATACATCAAGTGAACTTACATTTTCACTTCTATGTTATCATAAAAGACAGCCAATTTGTCATCTGGCAATGAGGTCATGTCAGAAAATAACGTGCTGCACGCGTGAGTTCACGACATTTCACTTCCGTTATCATCTATGATTTTCAGGGCGGAAATATGTATCTAGCTAATAAGGGCATGAACGTATAGAGGCAAACTCAGTCACATGTGTGTCTCAGTCAGAATGTTTCCTAAATTTTAATCTTTAAGTGTGCGAAACTACCACTTATTCAAGAAATAACGCTGTGCTCAGGATGCGAACAGGTCAGTATTTTTTCTGTAATATGCTATAGCGAACAATAAGTAACGTTATAGCAGCTACCATTGTGACAATAGAGTAAAAAGCTCTATATTGTAGTCTACATTGGTGACTAATCAGTGGTTTATCGCATGCAAAATAAGACTTACGAAAAAGGTAGTGATGGACACAAGTCTTAATTTGGACTGGTGGGCGCTTTCTCTTATTTCCCCCAAGGACCCGGTCACATACGTCGTACGAACGCCGTACGATCGCCAAGGGCATTTTCACGGGGATGGTCGTGCATGTGTCTTGCAAACCCCAGCTGTCTTTTTGCTGAAAAGGCTGTCTTTAGATCCTCGTCTGTGGCTGTTTCTGTCACAGGCTGCTAAGAAATTGTCTGACATCAAAATCGTAAGACGGTCTACGGCGAATGTGACCGCACAATAACCTACTAAACTTTTAACTGTCGCCACGTCCAGGCTCTACTTTTGCGACTCGTGCTTGACGTATGAGGGTCAATGATGGCAGAAACTAATCATGTTCGCCTAACTGTGCCCCAATTTCCACTTGGATCGCTGTCTAAAGTGGGCTATCCATATGCACTGCCTTGTTAACGATAAAAGTCGGGAACACTGACGGATCACGTCTGACTGTCTGGGCCCTGGGGACAAACTGGCGGGCATGGAAACCTCCTTTATATCTCGAAGCAGATGTAGCGTAGATTGAGTTCGGCTCAATGTTTTATGCGTACTTTTCAGACATTTTCTACGTTTTTCTTCTAGGAAGGAGGTGAAGAGATGAGAACTGGGCGGATAGAAAGGCGTAACAAATGCGTCAAAAAACACACGTAAAGCATCTGCTTGCATAGCGATTAGTAGTTTGCCTCGTGTCTGGTGGCGGAAATGTCAAAGCATTGACGTGTTTAGTGACGTCCTACAAGTTTGCAACTGTCATGGGGACTTGCACGCTCTGACAAAAGAAAGAAGTGTTTAGAATTTAGGATCCGTAGCGGTTTGTTTTCAGACAGCAGTTTTGTGCTGCTTCGTCACACGGTTACGTCTTTTATGAGTGGTCTGTGGAAAAAAAAAACTTTCAGATTTTGGATTCCCAATCAGTTTTTTGAAGGGCAGACCAGGGACCAAGTACCACTGCCAAATAAGGTAGCTTAGAGTTTCCGACCCCCAGGATGAGGATGGGACAAGGTGAGGGTGAAGGTGAAGCTGCACCATGTTCAGTGAATTAAAACATGCATGCATTTCATCCCGGTTGGAATGAAATGAAATCGGCGTTGCGGCACCTTATTGAAGCAGGCCATATCTCACCAAAGCAGCTGGAAACAGAGCATTGCCGTATCGCATTCAGCATGGCCACGTCCATCATCTATCATTCGGCAAGGGAACTGCATGCAGTGTGTTCGTCCCTCTTGTTCCAGCTTACTAGCGCCCCCTTTCGAAGTTAGTGAGGTACAGCACTCTCCAAGCAGACGTTGAAAGAGGAAATCATTACCTTAACCCTAAACAAACAAAACAAACCCGCTTTTGTCAGAAACAGGTGCCAATCAGAATACGGTAATGGTCTCCTCTTCCAACCTCTGCTTGGAGAGTACTGAGCACATCCGAAACGTTTCACTAACTAAGACTGACAACATTGTTTGCCACAGTTTCTCGATGAATGCTGTGTCTGTTATAACATATGATTGTCCAGGTCAATGATCATCAGTACCGGATGTCAAAATAGACGATCGCTCAGACATCATACTCAGATTGTGGTGACAAAAAATCTGAATAGATCACTCTAAAGGTTAGGCCGTGAATCTAGACAATGCCTCTCGTCCATGTCAGCAGTAACATGTTCATATCAAATCCTTATCACAAGTATATAACTATAAAGTCGTCAATGCTAAGTGGTTTTTGCCTGAATCGCGCCTCGCGGGTAGGATAACGCCTAAGAAAAAACTGTTGTGGAGACCAAGCCAATACCTGTGCCAGCTTCAAAGCCACAGGTGTGGGGATATAACGCCACTGAACGCGCGATTACTATGCCTGAGGCAAGTCGGCTCGGTAGAAATATCACGCTGTTTTGACGCTGGCACGTTTGGTGAAACAGAAAAATGTTTCCAGGCGACATCCCCATGGCAACGCGGTGGTCTCATACGTGTCTTGCTGGCAGGGAAATTATTCTTTTATAGAAACCCTTCAGGTGTCACTTTGACAATTTATCAGTGGTTGAGTTGTTGTAAACAATCTAGTTTGCTTTTCCTCCTGTAGATAGATGAATTTGATTTGTACGTCATTTCTATTGACTCAGTGCTTTGAGTGGAACAAACAGCGACCCGCAAATAATTTAATAAGATTTGTAATTAGATATACTAGTAAATGAATACTCTTTGACATAAGATACACAGCCGAGATGAATTTACATGCGCGTTTCGGGACTCTTTCTTCTTCCCAATCAATCCCTGAAAACTGTTAACGTTTTTTCAGCATTTCTCTAAAATTATTTCGTCTTGGTGTACGTGTTGTGAACAAAGATTGACTCATTCAACATTAATAAACTATACTGTTACGTCGTTGCGCTACAGCGGGAGCATTAACAAACCTACTCAAAGTGTGACGCAGACGAATGTCGGCCTTTTTATGGCTATTCCGCTGACACATTTGCTAGATGATTAGGTATTCTTTACAAGATTATGATGCTGCGTTAGAAGCGAGCGTGTCTAACCAGACACAATGAGATGATAGATGTGGTGGGTTTGAAAAATGCGTACAGCACACTTCCTGCATGGAAACGGCTATGAAAATTTAGGCGAGCACAACAGCTTGGAGTGTTGATGATGCGATTTACTTCCAGCTTCAACAACAAGAGGTTTAACATCGTTTATCTTTCGCGTATTGAATATTTGTTACAGCGTGCTTCCTGCGGTTTTACTCAGACGGAATCTGATGCACCCCCGGGGCTAGTTAGTCAAACTTGCTGAAGCTGTGACGCACGGCCTACTTTCCCGGATCCATGTTGCCATGGGAACCGGATTAGAATTGCCTAGAAGTGACGTCCTAATTACCTTGGGAACGAGCAGATTCCCCAGAGCTAACAAATGACGCATTCCCAGGGCAGGAAGAGAAGTGGCCGTGATGTTGAATATGGACTGGGGTCGTTATTTCTAATCGTTAGAATCCCGGCAATGCTTTAAGCACCTCTTTGTTGTGGTTGTGCTATCATATTTGAATGTAGGTCAATAAGTGTGTGATGTTACCAGATTGCTTCAAGCGAGCACAATTTCCTTGATTACAATGCTGAGTATACCTACTGCCCTCTGAGAGTAAACTTTTTTCACAGACATTAGAGTTACAAGCCAGTAGGATGATAGGATGCATCATCTGCAAAATCTGATGGTTCAAAAGCAATACTCGAGATTATTATCTAATCATGTGTACCTGTTGAACCGATTTGGCAACATCACAAGTAACAAGACACATGGAAGATACAATCTGAGGAATTTGATGGCTCAAAAGCTCTGCTACTACCAACCCTGTTATTCTCCCATACACAACAGAGTTCTAATGATTCAGAAGATGACTGGTTAACATTCAAGAATAATTTATTTCAACATCTTTGCAATCAAGTGTAAGGTACAAAGATACATAACGGTACAAACGGTACAACTTTGACAGTGGTACATTTGTAATGTCACATGAACTGATTCACTTTTGCGCTCTCTCCAAATGAACAGTAAGTTACTAACATAACATTCCAACAGATGATACTGCACAACAAAGTGTACCCTGATGTAAAGCAACACAATCTCAGATAAACAGATGACTTCTCACGTTACATCAGTACATAACTGATAACAGTACACATAACTCAGTAATGAAGACCCTTCACCTGCCTTACACTTTTGGTCCAAATGCTTTGGTACTTGTCATAGGCAATAGCACCATCAAACAACACTCTTTTTACATCTACATATTTTTTACAAAAATACATGGCAAGTACTGGACATAAGACAAGCTGCTTCCTCAGTTCAGTCTGTACTGAAGGTTTTACTGGTTTTATTCTACAAAAATACACCAAATTACATCATCATGTACTTGACAAACCATGACAAGCTTATCAAAAGCCAACATTTCATCTGTCAACTTTTAATGTGAATGTAAGTGCCAAACAACATGTTGGCCTAAAAACTATATACTCTAACAAACAGCTCATATCTATCACAATCTGGAATGTGTACAGGACCATTTTCACCATAGCCTGCTGACTTATCCTTAGAACCAATACAAACTGACACACAGAAAGTCCATGTGGAAGACAGATTACATTACTGTATGTTCTAATCTCTTGTTTGTGTCGTAATCTGCTTAACTTGCTAAATGCAGGGATAAATCCTACATGTTTATCTATAACATATATGCAACAGGAAACCATCCAACTGACATAACACACATATCATATGTATAAAACAATTAATGACGGTACACTAGAATAGATCAACATTTTTTAAAGAGCATCCCAAATCATGAATATATTGATATGCAAAACACCATATTGCCACACCAAAGTTAATGATAATGTCAGTATGCAACAATGTTTACATGCATTTGCAAATTGAGGAAACTGCCACTTCTTTAAAAGTCTTGAACATTGAATCTCTAGGTAAGGTCTGAAAACCTTCCTGTAATGAATGTTACATCAAAGTTGTGAACCTCCATGGCAAATCTAGATCAATATTAACTAATTAATATGGAGAACAATGTTTCTCCGAGCAAATTCATTGGTCAATGACCTATAATGTTATTACATGTCTTTCTTGCATTGACTGCGTCACACTGCAAATGGTACAAAAAATGTACATGCAAAATATTCAATCTTAAAAACTGCAATGATGATTGAAAAATATGTGCAGTCTCTCAAGTACATGCTCACATATCTTGTATTTGTAAAACCTTAAGTACAACATATATGTTATTCTTGAAGAGGACCTTGAAGTAAGGTT